CACCAGTCTGACTCCCAGCCTAGCAAAGCAACTCCTGCCTGCACTGACTGACTCACAGTCCCCCTGCTCACTGCAGCTGGGATGCCTACAGAAGAAAGCAAACACATCTGTGAAAGTGTAGGCGGGCTAAAGACTAGTGAGCAAACTGATTTCACACAAAAAGCAGCAGATTGGCTGTCATATAAAACCCCAAGACTGACCTATTTCACACAGACACAAGATCCAGGAGCATGGAGCAATAATCAACTTGCTTTCAGTTAGATGGATAGAGCATAGCAGGAGAGTGACGGGGAAAAGTATTCTGAGCAAGAGTTGAGGAAAATCAGTTATACATTGCTATATGTCCAACTCTAGCAAACACTGCAGAATGTTTATCCAGGAAAGGCTAGACAGGGAAGACAGGAAAACACACTGAAGTCCCTGCTACCGTTTCCTCCCTCAGGAACAAACAGACCCTGAGACAAGGCACAACAGCCAGGATCATCTCCAAAGTCTTCCTTACAGTGCTCCTGAGCACTGGAGAGCAGCACCATTCACCTTCTTCCACCAACAACTGGATGGCAAACCTAACTAGGGAGGGTGGGTTCCCTAGCTTGCAAGCAATCTCTGCTAAAATTCATATAATGCAAAGGTGTATTAACCAAATAGCACATTTACCACTGACTTCCCAAAGAATGGGTACAGAGCCATTAAAAAAAAAAAAAAAGTAAAAAACACCTGATCTCCTTCCAATACAAATATATTGGAAGGGGCACAAGGGACACACATCATAATCTTTTGGGAAGATAAAGCATAGCTCATCTTCCAAGCTTCAGGCTTTGTGTGTGTTTGTGTTGTTAGGGTTTTTTGTTTATTTTGAAGACAGGTTTCTGTTAACTATGTCATTTTTTTATTTATTTATCTCAAAGACAATAAAAAACTGTCAGCAGAAATTTATCTCTCATGTTTCTAGCAAGAGTTCCACACTCAGACCTCCTAAAACAGAAAATTTCCATCTTACAGATGAAAAGTTGCCTTACCCCCGAGGGGATTGGACTCATCATTTGGTAGCCTTCTAGCATCTTCCACCTTGGCTGTCTCACATCTAAAATCGTTCAGAAAACTTTGTAAATGTAGTCTCCTGAAATTTGCCAAGAGAACCCGAAGGGTGAAGAAATTGACAATAAGGAGCTGACACTTCTTACAGAGAACTTAACTGAAAACCTTATTTTCCATCCAAAAGGTTAGGCAGGGAGTTTTTCATCTAATTCTGATTACAAGGTGCCTATGTTAGTGTGGTTAAGCTACCAACAACAGTGACACCAGCGAGCCAGAGTATGAGAGACAGCTCCCTCCTGCAGCTGTCCAAAGATATGCTTCAGTGGAGACCAGCCAGAATTTAGAACACCCTCCACAAAAAAAAAGGACATTAGCCAAGATTTTGAAAGGTCTTAATACCTCCAGTCCCATCCCACCTGACATGCACTCTGCCCAGGGTCTCACTCCAGTGAATTTAGACGTACATCAAGAAGGATTATGAGCATATCTTAAAATAAAGATCTAATTCCTAAAAATTATCTGCTACCTGATGTATATCACCTCGACAGGTCTACTACCTCCCTCTCTCCTGACCCTCCAAGAACTCTACATTCATCGATCACTTGCGCTACCAGGACGGTAACACACACAATTGCACAACAGATACCTGGGAAAGCAGCTGTCCGAGCCTTACAAACCATGTGTAACCCAAATGGGCACAATCTACACAGGACTAGAGTAGGGCTTAACAGCTGTCCAGCAGTTTCCACAATAGAAACAGCCCACATGAAAAAGCACAATCACTTATGATCAAAAAGGTACAATAAGGGTTGTGATCTATTTATTTCCAGATCTACGCCACTCGCATTACCAACCTAAATACGTGTCCAACAGAAAATGGGTGCATGTTATCCTCCTGGTGATTTTACAGCATCACATTCCCTCCTCGGAGTTCATGCTAAATCCTTTGAATTGTACTAAAATCTCAACCTATTTATAGTTTCACAATACAATGAATACAAAGCCATAATCTCCAACAGTTAACTACAAAGCATACTGAGAATTCTTAAAACACAATTTTTCTACATTCAAAAATTCACAGAAGAAGATTTAACCTAATCTCTCATCTACTGCATGCTGAGTTTGTGTTCCACCAGCATAATTCATCTGAAACAAGGAGAAGTAATAAGTTATGGTCAAATTTTATGAACACATGTGCAAACTATATTATCTGAGGAATGCCACCAATTAAAATATCACACTTCTATTAAATTGGTGAAGCTGTATTACAATCAACAATTCTGCAGAGTGCCTTAAAGACCTGAAATAAAGCCTTCTCCAGGTCTGCTAAGGACTGAGCACTCCTTGTGAAGCCAGTAAGCATGGGGCAGACACAGCAGGAAAGAAAAGATATGCTAATTATTCTAAGAAGTTGGCAGGTATTAACACAGATGGGCACCATAAGAGAACACATTCATCAAGCAAAGGATACCAACTCTAGAGGAGCAGACAGTTGGTAGAAAAACACCAAACAGGACCTGGCTTCCCCACAAAACAGCATAGCTACTGATTCCTAATTCTATCAGTGCACTAAGGCTCTACCATTTGACAAAAAAAGTCTCCAAAAACTTTAAGGAAAAATAATTTTTCACATAATAATTTACGTTGGAAAGGATCTCTAAGATTGAATCCAACCATTAACCCAACACTGCCAAGTCCACCACTAAATTACGTCCCTAAGTGCCACATCTACGGTAGCCACAAGGAGTGAAGGAAAGACTCAAAGTGAATAGGTCCTTTTTCTTTTTACCAAATTGCAATTCCTTTATCATCTACAGCTATATGCCTGTAGCCAGGACACCTGAGAGCTGGCAGTAAAGATTAACGGGTACAGATAAGAAGACGCCTGCCGAGGAGTGTGGCCACCCTGTCAGCTACAGCTGTTGGCCCGCTCAGAGCTATCACTCCCTCTTACAAGCCTCGCTCCTCTGTTCAGCTTGTCACACCCCTCCAAAAAAGACACTGCAATTTTCACCTCGTTTCTCCGGTAGGAAGAGGAAAAAGTGAGACAGAGAGACAGACAGACAGATCAAAATTAATTCTTTTTGCCATGCTGGACAGATTTCACAGCCAAGCCGCACAAGGCAGCCTCTCTGCAATCCACGACGGGTCTGTGCGCCCAGCAGACACCGCATGAAGTTTCTACAGCCCAATTCCACCTTTATGTGAATCAGCAGCTGACCTATGCGCGACTTCCATGAGAGCACGCACCCGCTACCCCTGGTACAGCTCCATCCCTAGTGTCCACCGAGCTTGTGAACTGGAAAACTAAAGTCGCATTAGGTACCCAGGAGTGTGGATCCGAGGTAATCCACGCACCCCTGCACGGCGCTCCGCAGCCAGGGTCCCTGCGGACACCCGTGCGCAGCCAGCGGCTCCACCGGAGCTCCTCAGCCGCCCGAACTACCGGGACAAGGCAGGACCGGGCAGCAGCGCCCCCGGGCAGGGACGGCTCGGGCCGGGCAGGGCAGCCGCCCCCGCCGCTCCGGCCAACTCGGGCAGCCAGCGCGGAGCCGCCCGCCGGCGATGTCGGGTGTCCCTGCCCGGCCGCGGTGTCCCTGACACCTCCCAGAACGAAAAGCAGGGAAGACGAAGGTCTGCGGCCCCATACGGGCGAG